TTTGTCTCGTTTTATACTTTTAGTTTGTTTAAAATACCCCAGCATGGCCAAATAACACCCACTAATGCCGAAAAAATGCCTAGCAATGCCCGAAATCTGTACACCACAATACCCTCAGCGGTTTACCCCTCGTTTGGGACATAAAACGACTCGAAAGTACAAGAGTAATAAATAGGGATGTATCTTCGGGGAGGTAGGCACTAAGACGCGTCGCTTCTTCATTTTCGGCGAGACAAATAACGGGCTGGGACTAGGCCAGAATTCGAATCTGGGATCTTCCGGGCGAATACTCTTCCAACCGAGTTATCCAGGCCCAATACAGCCATTCTGCCAAGGGCCTCGTACACACTGCCGAGTTTAGGATTAATTATCGGACAAAATGAAGCCGCGCTGCGCGAACCTAATCGGCCTCGCGAATGCGGCGCTAAAACGGACGCTCTCCACACTCGGCGGTATCGGAAGCGTTTGCGGAACCGCACTTCGCTCTCGCGACTTTTGCGAAACAACGCGGGTCGATGACATAGCCCCGGGCAGCGGGAATGCAATTTCCTGAAAAGCATGTCGCTGCCCGGCGACGAACGCGGACACGAGACGCACTCACAGTCCTGAAAAGGGTCCCTCGCGGAGGGACGGGACAAGGGAGGGCGAGATTTACGCACTCATCGCACTCAGCGTAAGTGCGGCCGTTCAGGCCGAACTTGCCGCTCGATGTTCCGCGCGGATACGGTTACGCCCGATGCAATTTCCGACCAAAATTACGCACGCACGCAAAAGCAGCCAGGGTGCAGTTACCATCGTAAATTGAACTCGGCCAGGCTGACCTCGTCAAGTCGACTTTATTGTCGTTGACCGATATCTTTCACAATACGCGCAATTATCGACGAGCGATCGTAAGTCGCGAGAATAAATCAGTCGTCCGTTAAGAGACATCGATCGACGAGCGAGATCGCGTCGTAGCTGTGCTAATAAATAAGCTCAAGTATTTTGATAATTTGCAAACAATTACGCGAGGTAACTTCGGTTATGCACACACTGAAAAAAATTTCTGGTTGAATATGGACGAATCAGATAATTCCTTTAGGATTTACCAGAATTCCTTTAGGATTTACCAGAATTTCTGTAGGATTACAGGAATTCTGGTAAATCCTAAAGGAATTATCTGATTCGTCCATATTCAACCAGAAATTTTTTTCAGTGCAGTTATACAGATTATGTAATCACGGTTTGTATGCTGTTTACAATTAATCAAGGTCCTTTTAACTCTCGATTATAGGATCTTATTTTTTTATTGCAAATCTGCATTCAAATCATTTCATTGTGAATTCATGATTAAGTGAGGTATTAATTCGACACAGATCTATTTTGTCTAGTTTACTGTTCTTACTGCTGAAAAAAGTTATACTCTCGTTTTTGTGCCTATATATTTGTTTGAAGAAATTTATTTCGAAAGGTATGAGAGCGGAGATATGAGAAAATTTTTTTCTGTAAGGTTCTGTAAAAACTATTCATTTAAATAATTTGCACATAAAAATTAAAATCTTTTCTCAATCGCATCAGGGCGGCAAGATAGACGATAAATCGGTCGCGCGATTATTTTAGGTGATATATTTGCGCATAATAAAAAGAACATAGAAAATTATATATGTATAATAAAATATCAAGATTAAAACTTTGTCAAAATCGGCTTAAACATTTTCACGTGAATCAATTCGTCTATAGAAAAGATATTTAATAATCACCAAATATTTAGTTGATCTTTTGTATCCATTTTAAGAATACATTCGATATTCCTCAATAGTGCTTCCAAAATACTCTGTCTTGTGAAGCTGAATAGTTTTAGAAAATAATTTTTGACTGCTTCCCTATTACAAACATACCGCGTATACACTTGTCGAACAGCACAGCTCCTGCAGTTAAAGCAAACGCGTAAGATCCTTGAGAAAATAGTCGGAAAATGGTACCACGAAGAGTGCTTAAAAAAAAAAAATTTGCACGCGCGATTCTTCGGGCTAATTTGCCGCGGCGACTCGCGTAGACTCGCGAACGAACAAAAGCGTTGTTGCGAGAATGCGAGGCGGAGACGGCGACCTGCTCCGCTCGCGATGACTCGCACGAGTCGTGAGATTCGACTCGATTCCGGCGCAAATAGAACGGCAGATAATGGAGATAGGCTAAGAATAGAGCATTTAAAAGGCGTAAATGGAGCGTGACGGACTCGCACGCGCGCGAGCGCAGTGCGAGATAGCAAAGTAGCTGGAATCGGGAATTTGATCACTTCGGCAATATCCGCGCGCGGCTCTTGCCAGGTCCGCGTGTACGTATATCGCGGAAGTGTCACTCGACACAACTATTACGAAACGCGAACGAAAACGAGATAAAAACACGCCGTCCACCCTCAACACGCGATATTTCCGCCACTCCCTTTCGTCGATTTCGTTCACGTGTAAAACAACCTGCGGAATATTCGTAATTATTATCAAGATATAATTACATGATATTGTAAATCAGCTTGAGACAATAAATTTAACGTCGATAAACTGAAAGGAAAGGAATTTTTAAGTGGGTTCTATAAGCATCGTAGATTAAGGGATACTCATCGTTGCAATAATGTTAAGTGCACACAGAGAAAAAGGTTTCTTTGGATTTGGTATTCGTATATTTATTTGATTGAAATTTGTTTCGCTGAAACAACATATGCTTGTACGAAAAATTATTTGTTGTTTCCTTCAAACAATCTCTATCATTTTGAAGGACTAAAACTCTATCATTCGATGATAGAGTTTAGTCCTTCAAACTAAATAATTATATTATTTGGCCAGGCGCCTATAAAGTTCGGCGCTGCTACTAGATGGCCGCCGAACTCGTAAGTGAAATCACGGCAGCCAGGCACATAAGCGACCGCATCAGCAGACGCAGCCTAATCATTTAATGGTTTATTCTTTATAGCTGAACATAGTGTACTAATTCAGTGTTTATCTTTCTTCTTCTAACGAAGGGAAAATTCTAATGTATAAAGAAAAAGATGTATGTATGTACACTTTTCACATATTTTCTATCAAACGATGATGTTGTTTGAATCAAACGGTAATATCATTAATAGATCAAAGAGAAGAAAAATATTTTATGTCAGACGAAGATATTATTTCAAATTCAAACAAATTTGGATACAGCAAAATTTATTAAATCCAAAGAAATCGTTTCTTTTCCGTGCAGTTTGCAAACTTTAGAAACGTAACGGCATGATTATTGTTTTCCACGCAAATGACCATAACAACGGTATTCCCACAATTAAATAGAGAAGTGGCCACTTTTGTAGGGTTGGTTCTTGGTAATTTCTACTTTTTCTTCAACTCAAAAGTGAACCGCGTGCCGATTATTTGTCGAGCTTAAAACACAGCTTTTTGTTGGAACAGCGAATCCACATGCTCAAATCGGCGATTAATTCAATTTTTGATGCTAATAATCATCCTTTTTAAATCACTGTAAAGAATTTATTGCAAATGCTATCGCCAAAGTTCGAATCTGAAGGTCCCTCCAATCCGAGTATCTTTATCAATTCGATCACTGAGACTCTGTAATTAATTGTATAATTCATATCGGTCCTGCTTCGATAATACTCCATTTCAGCCCTTATCACAAATTCGGTGGAATTTAATATAATCCATAGCGATTTGTGCAATTTCTAGCGATGCGACTGTTTCATAATCGATAATTAATTTATTCGAGTTTAAAACTCCATCGGAGAATATCGGCCTAGTTTACCGCATTTCGTTCGCGCAACCTGTACTTTAAACTAAAAGTAAATGTCCAAAGGAACGTCAACACCATTTAAACCTGTAATACTTTTAAGCCGAATATAGATAGCGTAAAAATCAAATCCTCACGTGAACGTCATCAGCAAGCGAGAAAGAGACCTGACCCAAGCCAAGTCGAGTCGTTTATCAACAGTCCTTTACACCGTCACGACCTATCGCGAATAGGTCGAATATAAGATACAGGTAACGACCTGGACGCACGGTGTAAACTAGGCCACTGTTTTAAGTTCACCCGCATTAATCCTAGAATATTACACGATCATTTAAAATTACAATACCCTCCATAAGTTTGGAAACGCTTGATAAAAGTGTGTAATATGAAAGAAAGACATAATAAAATCGATGTATTTTGCTTTGTAAGTGTTTATTTAACTAAAGGAAACTAAAACGAAGACACATACGTGCGTACGACCAGCTTTTAATCAAGATTTACATTAAATTTTAGATTCCTCTAAGTAACCAACTTTTGCTTTACTAACTGCCTTGCATACTCGCGGCATGCGATGGATTAACTTTTGCAGAGATTCAGTCGGGATACGTTCCCATTCTTGCTGGAGAATCTCCCAGAGGTGCACTTCACTCGTAATTCGCCCTTTGCGAATCCACCTGTTTAATTCGTTATTTAAACGTGTCGTAATTTTATCGTTATTTATCGTAAATATATCGTTATTTAAACGACTTATGATATATTTATACCAAACACGTGCACAGATCGCTGCTGTGCCACTATTTATCCGTAAAATATAGGGCGTTTCCAAACTTATGGAGGGTACTGTGTATACTTTGATTACTGATTTAAAGAACAGGAACATTTTTCACTCTTTATGACGTGTAAATGTTCAGATTCCAGATCTTATAACGCAAGTATGCATTTAAATTTAAAAAATAAACGATAACAATTGTGACGGAATATTTTTTGCACCTAGCATAATATTCTAGGATTATAATACTTTAGAATTTTGCCCAAGTGGTGGTACTACTTTGATTACTACAAGCACGTTTTACGTATCGCGTTACGTGCTCCCTCGGAGAGCAGCGCGATGACACTTTTCGCCCAATGCTAATCTGGATGCAGCCAAACGGCATCGATCGGATTTCGACGTTGGCACCTTTCTGAGCCCGATCGTTGGTCAGCTATCAAAATAACACGCTCGCGCGTGCTTTCTGTGCGCTCGTAATACTCACCTATTATACTTTCCGAGGCGGCGTCGTAACGGTGTGCCGTCGAGAGGAAGGCCAGGGCCAAAGCCAAAGCCAGTATCGAAGGTAATCGTGTCAACTCCATGTTTAGACGTGCCGGATCTCAGACTCTGCCGCGACAATTTGCTGAAAGAACGACAAAGATACATTCATCAACCGCGTGCCTCCACGTGCTTAGTCTCTACGATTGTGCAACGCGAAATGGCAAAACACTTGAACGGATTTTTATTTTTGAAACACGAGCCAGTGTCCACGTGTTAAAAATATGCGCTCGATGACGATGAGGACGACGCCACGGCCTGAACTTTCGCGCTGGTTTCGGACAATGGACACAGTTGTATATAAACTCGCGGGACAAAGCCAAGCATAATCGTGCCGAACGCAAAATCCAAACGGCTCATATTTTATTTCAATCTCCGGCGAATTTAGCTTTCTGGGAATAATCCCGTTAGAGAAACGTTAACCCATGATGATCGAGTGCACCACGTGACGCATAATACGCACCCACTCTCCGTCCGTTTAGAGAGCTTACGGTAGATTTAACGATATCATCAAGTGCACTGTCACCATTAACATTGATACATAATAGTCTGATGCACTTCCGCGATTTCCATGCGTTTAGACCGCATAAATTTCCCCGGCGCCGCCTTGCCACGTGGATCACGTGCGTGCATTTAACCTCTCGTCGGCCGCGCGCTTATGTTTTTATTTAAAACTGCAAATTGCTCGATCAATCCGCGGGCCTTGAGTCACGTGCTACGTACCACTCGAAAGATTAAGCGAAAGAGGAAGAGCGTCTCGCGGGAAGCGGGCGACGCGGCCGAATGGGAAGTAACGGAACGTATTGCGACTTGTATTATTCCCGCTCGTTAAGAACGCTGGCGCCCGATACATTATTCAACGCGTTAAATGCATAATCCAATCCAAATGCATCGGACGAGCCTAACGAGCCTTGCTTGATTAATGACAATTCCAGCGGCCGCGAGGATTAGAATTCGCGTTAGCGATCCCCGCCGTCGGCCGCGATCACCGGAGTATCTGTATCCTAATCGATTGCGAAACCAATATCTACGCGGCTGTGTCTTTTGTATGCAACGCGTATATCGTTACACCCACGACGAAATATCTCTATGCCGGTGTGGTGACTCGACGAGTCTATTAATACATGCACACACACACACACACACACACACATATCAAACACGTATCACTTGTGTCTCGAGGAGGCGCGTACGCGCCATATCGATAGGCGCGATCGTGAAAGAAGAAAGAGAGAGAGAAAAGTGACAACCGGCAGACCCGACGAATCGAGAAATTTACGAGCCGATTCTTTCGATCGGTGGCTCGAACTCCGGGAATATTCCGGAACGCGTTGCACCGCGCGCGAGCGAGTAGATTGCGTCAAGTGCGAAGATAAGTATATTAATCGCACTCAGATTTAGTTACTCGTTTATTTCGAAAGTCGTTTAGGTCAGCTGAGATATTCGGACCGGGCAGTTCTATGTCCATGCTCTCGTCGGATATTTATGACACAGTACCACGCGACAAAGTAGCGGAAAACAACAATACGTTGATTGTACTTTCCACTTCCCCCATCCCTCGTCCGTAATCTTGTGAAAGACGCAACCGAGATATCACTTTTGCGTTGTTAAAAAAAAAATAGACAGCCCTGCTCGCAAATTTTATTTGCGGAATTGCCTTCCCGCACATAAAAGTCTATACGTAACAAATGCTACGCTTTGTCTCTCTCATTGTCAGTTGTGACACTCGGGACGGAAAAGCTGATAAATTTCGAGGAATGAAAAAAGAAGGACAGAAAATTTGAAGAGAACTTTGCGAACGTACTGTGCTATCTAGGATATTCTTTTATGAATTCCTGAAGAATTACAATTCAGAAGGAAGAAAACTTGAAGAACACTTTGCGGATTTACTG